ATTCCAACCAGTCGTCTACCTCAGACTTTGTATATTCCTGCTCCCTTTGCTGCTTGCAAGGTTAACATTCATAGGTGCCTCTTGGTCCACTGCATTTATTTACTTCCTGGAGCTGCCTCTGTTCATTCTAAAACGTCTCCGCCACTAAAAAAAGCACACCAAATGACTGCAAGACTAAAGAGCCTCAGTGCACTCCTGCTATCTGAGAAGCCAGTGAATTACTTTTGTTTTGATGGCAATATCTCCATAATCATAAGACAATCCTCAGTGTCAGAACGCTCTGCAGCTAATGCGTTTAACAATACCATTAGTTTTGATCACAGGCCCACAAGTCAGCGCTCTATGGAAATGGTAACACTGAGGGACATTCGGAGACAGTGGGAACTTTCAGATTTAAAAGTAATAAATAAGGATCAGGTAGGTGACTGTTTTTATGTCGCTTGTTGTGCTTCAATGCAAACCTAAGCTTGGCCTGTGTTTACATCTGTTTTGTTCCCTCCTTCTCTTTGTGCTGCCATATACTGCATTTTAATACAGTCCAAGTCCTGATAAAGAGCTTTTCTCATTTTCATTTTTCTGACTCTGCAGTCAGAAAGTGGAGCAAGTATGAAATAGAGGCTGAGACACAGCCAATTTAAAAAGCTACACGTCAACCAGCAGTCACCTTGGAGCCATTTCCAAGCTGCAGCTCTGCACCGCAAAAGTAGATTTTATACCTGCAACACTGTCTGACAAACTCTTCAGATACATGAATTCAGAACAACAGATATGCTGTGATTCTGCGATATCTTCATGTAAAATGGCTGCGAGAGAATACTGAATGTCCCACACATCTATGTCGGCTATTGAGGGGGCAACACAGAGAGAATCTTCTTCCCAAAAGGGGCATTTACAACAGCAGCTCAGCTGTATGTACAGCTACAGACTGAAACTGTTTAGAACAGGGCTACAACCACGTGTTACACAGTCGTGATAAACTGAACTACACCTGCAGTATTCAGAGCTGAAAAATTGAAAGACACATTCTGAGAACATGTGAGACTTCTATTAATGTGCTCCGACAATATGGGATCTTTCAAATCTAAATACATACACTGAATCGTGACTGTACATACGACAACATTATTAACATTACAGTGTGGTTTAAAGTTAACCTAGAAACTGGCAAATGTGGTTAACACCATTTTGCAGATTATATTTAGCTAAAAGATCTCATTGTAGGTGTCATTGGTTACCTAAAATATTATGAGAGATAGTTTTGCAGTATTAAGTCCCATAGTTTTACACTAAATCTCCAAATATTAACAGTCAACACTCCTGATGTTATACCTGGAAAAAGGCTTGCTCTTGCTGCTGGATCCTAATATAGTGGTGCCAGCGCTGCCCAGCTGAGGGTTTTCTCTCAGCCAGTTCGCAGGTGGCAGCTTCAAGTCCGTCTTCTCCTGCAGGAGGGCATAGCTGGTGGGAGGTGGGGCGGCAGAGTACTTGACCACAGCACGGCTCTTTATTTCACTGGTGCCTGAACATATTGCAGAGTCCTGAGAAATGAGAAAAGGTTCGTTAATGACAATGACCAGACAACACTGACTGATATTTAAGGTTCATGTGGTGGGTGGCAACGAGAAAAAGAAGGAGCATCGATTAGTGCGGACTTGTAGATAAAGAGCTACCGGTTTGAGACTGGTTCCAGTCAGAGGAGTGAGTCATTTCCGACTGGTGCAAAGGGAAACAAGGAGCAGGAACACTGACCTGTCTCCATGCAGGGTTGAAGACAGCTGCTATGAGTAGCTTGACATACCAGAGAGTCCCCATTCCATTGGCTGCTCTTGCCGTGGAACAGTTTTGGTCTATTTTGTTGTTTTTCAGAAGTTTGCTTTTTTGTCTAAAATGCCCTGGAAGTGAGCAGGTAGCAGGCAAAAACACCTGGGTACTGGTCTTAGGGCAGACTAGTTTTCTTTTCTTTATTTATGTTTGTTTGTTTTGTTTGTCACTCTGCTTCCTCTGCTACTTCATGACTTAACACAGCTGAATCCAAACAAACAATCAGGGCAGACTCAGAGTTTGTTTTTAATTGTTTGCTGTGATGATAATTACGTGCTGAGAGTTTTAAGTGTTGTCCTCCTTTGTTGGCAGGGTTTGTTGACTGCAGCGTACAGCGGTGTGCTAGTGGAATGTAGCTCCTGCATTGTAGCAATAGCTGGGGAAAGTAAACACTTGCTACTTCCCACTTCCTGTAACTATGGCCTGCAGTGGGGTGGTACATTGATATCAGCCTAATGATGCATAATTTGTTTAACTCTGGACAGTTGAGAACTCAACGGCCAAGCTCTTAACGAGAACTAAGAAACACAAGCACATCAGGCTTCCTTTTAACCTTGTTATACTGGCTCACAGGATGTTTTAGGATAGATTGTAGGATTTCACTGATCACTTTTAAAAGCCTTTCATAACCCGTCTCATAGTTATATGTCTGATCATTACGCACCATTACTGATCCAGTCTTTTGTCTGTTCCAGGCTAAAAACTAGAGGGGACATAGCAAGCTGCCCATTAAAACCTCTTCATACGTCTATCAAAGAGCCATTCCTGATTTTTTTAAAAGCTCTTTATTGCCTTTAAAGCGTTTTTGGTTTCATTTGATAATGCTTTTACCTCTTTAACACTGTATTGGTTTTATACAACATGTTGTATCTGTCTTTTACATTCTGATTATTCTATGACTTGTCTGCTATGAAGCACTATGTAACCTGGATACTGAAACTTGCTCTATAAATAAAGAATATTATTATTATATTACTTTAGATGTTGACTTCTAAGGCCACATTTGTCATGAGTATAATATTACATGTTGCATTGACTTTATATATTCATAAATAGCTAGCTGTTACTGGTGCATAGACTTGTTTATTTCACATAGTAAACAAACGACAGCTCCTCCCAGCTACTTACATGTTTGCTGTTCTCTCCTGTGCAGGTAGGACCACCGATTTCCTCCTTTGCAGTGTCCGAGGGGATCCCAGGCTCTCTGTCGCCAGCTGATGCGCTCATACTGCACACACGTCCGTTGAATCCAGAGAAACACTGACAGTTTCTCAACAGCTAGACAACATGTCCATACTGGCTTGGACAAATCATTAATAATCTATACAGCAGCTCAATAACGAGCGACAGACGTCAGTAATGCCGATAAAGTTTGGGGTACCTCTGGTTAGTTTGCTAGCTTGACAGGCTAGCTCCTTGAAATAGCAACAAAAAAAACAAAAAGTGCAGCTACTCCACACGGTTGTTTAATTAAAGCTAAACGACACTCTCGTGAGAGGCTGTCGTTGTTTCGTTAACGCTAGTAATGTTTAGCCCTTAGCTAGTTAACTGGTTAACCCAGCCTGCAGCTTCTTCCCTGTCCATCAGCAGCAGTCTGTTTACAGAGCACACGTTACAGAGCTCACCACCACTTCCTGGTTCACGGAAGGACCGGCTCTAAAACTGGGCTTATTTTTTATTATCACTATTTTTAAAAATTGCTACATTTCAGAAAATCATAAGCAGTGGCACTTAGAAGTTTATAACGTAGAACATTAGCTTCGTCAGAAAATATTCCGGCTACAAAAAAAAAAGCACGTGACCCGGAAGTATTTTTCAGAGGTTCCTTCTGGAAAAGTTGAGCACTTTCTATTTTGTGAAATTCACTGACAGGCTGTCAGTGACAGGCTGTTGTGTGTTTTTATTTATATCATACACTGAATTTATACACAGTCACTGCTACAAATGCACCACAGACCACAATTAAAACTATTCAATTATTTAAATTAAATCAAATTAAGTATGTGAACAGTATTGGCAGCAAAATTTATATTATATTATATTATATTATATT